CGTATACCATCATCTGTCCTCCGTAATAGCACCCTTTTTGAGCGTCTATATGGTCAACTGCCCGATTATAGTACGTTTTGTCCCTTCGGTTGTGTCGGTTTTGTCGTTATCCCTTCGCATGAACGTTCCAAATTGGAACCTCATGCGCGCGTATGCTGTCTTCTTGGTTATGGGTCAGAGCATAAAGGTTATAGGATTTGGGATTCGGTTTCTAAACGGTTGTGTATATCTTGTCATTCACCTTTTGGGAGAGTGTCATGTTTTCCACCCTATCTAAATTTCATGCCTCATCTATTCCTGGTTCACCTTCCTTCCTGTCGGCATGTCTTCTCTTGTTTCCTGATCCTGATCCTAGGGCTCTATCACTGCCTCCGGATCTTGTTACAGTTGAGGCTTCTGATCCACCTCCATTTGAAGCTTCTGATTCACTTCCGATCTTGTCTCCAGATGTTGATCCTTCTGTGGTTCTTGGACCTGTCATACCTCGTCGATCACATAGAATGAGTCACCCTCCTTCCCACTTGCGTGATTATCATTGTTACTCTGCCATATTATCTCATCATAAGCCTAGGTTTCATGAGGCGAGTGCTGATTCATTATGGCAGCAAACTATGGCTGAGGAATTAGAGGCTTTGGCAAAAACTCACACTTGAGATGTAGTGGATTTGCCTTTGGGTGCTAGTGGGTTTTCAAAATCAAGATTAATTCTGATGGTTCCATTGAGCGCTACAAGGCTTGTCTGGTGGTCAAAGGTTATTCCCAGGAGTATGAAGTTGACTACGAGGAGACTTTTGCTCCCATTGCTCGTCTCACTACTGTTTGTCGTCTTCTTGCCGTTGCTGCTGCTCATCAGTGGTCTCTTCTTCAGTTAGATGTCAAGAATGCATTTTTACATGGCTCACTTTCTAAAGAAGTTTATATGACTCTCCCTCCAGGTTTCTCATCCCCTGGAAATGTTTGTCGCTTATGTCGCACTTTATATGGGTTGAAGCAGGCTCCTCGAGCTTGGTATGCCACATTTAGTGCTGCACTATTGAAGTTTAGTTTTACCACATACGCTTACGACTCTGGCCTATTTATAGTTCTTCATCTGGGATAGTTATACTCTTGCTTTATGTTGATGATATGATTATCGCGGGAGATGATGCGTTTAATATTTCTGATCTACAGGCCTATCTTAGCCAATAATTTAAGATGAAGAGCTTGGATCCCCTTCGTTACTTCTTGAGGCTTGAAGTCTCTATTCTCCGGATGGTCTATTTCTCTCTTAGGCTAAGTATGCATCCGATCTCCTTGCTTAAGCTGGTCTCGCAGACTATCAAGTAGCCTCTAAACCACTTAAATACGATGTTCGATTTACTCTTCGTGATGGCTCTCTTCTTGATGATCCTACCTTCTATCGTCAACTTTTTGGGAGCTTGATCTACTTGACTATCACTCGACCAGATATCGCTCATGCAGTTCATATAGTGAGTCAGTTCATGGCCGCTCCGAGGACCTCTCACCACTCTGTCATCTTACATATTCTTCGTTATGTGAAAGGAACTCTCGTGCATGGTTTACACTTTTCCTCTCACTCGTCTTTGACTCTGACCAATTACTCTGATGCTGATTGGGCTGGTGATCCTACTGATCGTTGTTCGACCATTGGTTTCTACTTCTTCCTGGGTGATTCTCTTTTCTATTGGCGCAACAAGAACTAGACTTTAGCTTCTCGATCGAATGTCGAGTCCGAGTATCGTGCCCTTGCTGACTCTACGTCACAACTTTTATAGCTTCGTCGATTACTCACTGATCTTGGTGTTCCTCGGTCATCTTCTACGACTCTTCACTGAGACAGTCAGATAAGACTCAAGTTGGGTTCTACAACACCCACTTGAGTTTGAGGGGGATGCTGAGATATTTTAAATATTCAATTTTAGATTTAGTAGATTTATATTTAGATTTGGTCTCATCTATAGATTATATTACTTAGATTTGGTCTCATCTATAGATTATATTACTTAGATTTGAGTCTATCGAGTCTGTTTTGTATTGCATATATATAGGCCCCTTATTTTGATGATCAATAAAATATTTCATTATTTTTCCCCAAAATTTTTAACATTAATGTATACATCTTTCCATTTTCATTCGTCCCGGTTAACGTATATGGACCCCATTTTTTGTTTCAAATACTCTTATATTATTATCACATCGTTACTTTACACCAAAAACAAAGATAATTATCTTTACACTATTTTTAATTACTCACGACAATTAAAATATTATTATTATATTATTTCTTAAATTTGTAAATATACACTATAATGCCGAACGGAGGAGTATGTTTGTATTTTTTATATTATATTAAAAATAGTTTAATATATAAAAATATCACAACTATACTTATTTATATTACATCAAAATATAAAATTTTATTATTCCAAAATTCAAACTCAACTCTCAAATGTATGACGAAATAAACTCTAAAACTCAAAAAAAATATTTAAGGAAAAATGTGTAATTTATATTATTATTTTTTAATTATTGATATATTATGACCAATTTGGCAGGACGGCTAAAAAAGAAAAAGTAGACCAATTTCGCTGGAACGGAAGAAATATATAATACGTGATTAAAATATATATATATATACATATATTATACATGATTCAATCAATTTATATTATACCTTCAAAAATTGATTTAATCAATTTATATTATTATACATGATTCAATCAATTTATATTATACACTATAATGCCGAACGGAGGAGTATGTTTGTATTTTTTATATTATATTAAAAATAATTTAATATATAAAAATATCACAACTATACTTATTTATATTACATCAAAATATAAAATTTTATTATTCTAAAATTCAAACTCAACTCTCAAATGTATGACGAAATAAACTCTAAAACTAAAAAAAAATATTTAAGGAAAAATGTGTAATTTATATTATTATTTTTTAATTATTGATATATTATGATCAATTTGGCAGGACGGCTAAAAAAGAAAAAGTAGACCAATTTCGCTGGAACGGAAGAAATATATAATACGTGATTAAAATATATATATATATACATATATTATACATGATTCAATCAATTTATATTATACCTTCAAAAATTGATTTAATCAATTTATATTATTATACATGATTCAATCAATTTATATTATACACTATAATGCCGAACGGAGGAGTATGTTTGTATTTTTTATATTATATTAAAAATAATTTAATATATAAAAATATCACAACTATACTTATTTATATTACATCAAAATATAAAATTTTATTATTCTAAAATTCAAACTCAACTCTCAAATGTATGACGAAATAAACTCTAAAACTCAAAAAAAATATTTAAGGAAAAATGTGTAATTTATATTATTATTTTTTAATTATTGATATATTATGACCAATTTGGCAGGACGGCTAAAAAAGAAAAAGTAGACCAATTTCGCTGGAACGGAAGAAATATATAATACGTGATTAAAATATATATATACATATATTATACATGATTCAATCAATTTATATTATACCTTCAAAAATTGATTTAATGTATTACTCCATACCTATTTGTTACCGTGTCAAAACTAGAGCTGACAATGAGTCAATTCGTGTCGGGTTGAATACTTTAAACGGATTAAATTACTTAATCCTAACTCGATTTGTTTATTATCGTGTTTGGTTCGTGTTGACTCATATTCATAATTAAGTCAAAATCCTTGATTCAAATTCAATTGTTTTTTGTTGTGCTGTCGTGTTATGTTAGTTTTCATTGGTTCAAGTGTAATGTGTACAATAAATTAGATTGAATTATTTAAAATTAAATTTAGTTTAAAATAATAGATGAGCAAATTATTCAATTACAATTATTTTACATACATAATAAACATATTAATCAATATTAATATATTATAATCTGGTTGTCGTGTCGGGTTCGAGTTGAGAGTCTCAACCCTAACCCGACCCGTTTATTATCGTGTTGGGTTCGTATCAACCTGTATACATAATTGAATTGAAATATTTGACCCAAACTCAATTATTTTGTATTAGGTTCATGTTGAATTGTCGTGTCATGTTAGTGTTTAGCCAAAACATATACTATCAACTATGTTATTAATTAGAAAAATAACTCATTAATATCTTCTTTAAACAACTTAAGGAATTTCAAGGACCATCTACACAAGAGATAGGGTTTGTTCATTCAACATTTTTTTGGGATAATACCATTCTCTGAGTATTATAAAAAAAAAAATAATATAAACGTTTATTAACACAATATAATATATATATATATATTATATCTGTCAATAATTTAAAATAAAATATTATTTTTTATATTTCAACACAATTTTTCATATACTCAACATAAAAAAACCATATTCATCCAAAGTTTACTATAAAATGTCTTTAAAATCTGATCGGTTATAAAATTTAAATTGAATGATGCTCCAATCATATATATAATGAACTATAGCATTCTAAATACTCCATACTAAGTAGTACTACATACGATTATTTAGTAGGATTGATGAATTCAATTCCTCAGTTTGTAACAAATCATCACTTTGGCAAAATTTGCCAGAAATTTTGTTAGAATAAAAATAAAGAAATAAATTGGTAAAATATATAAACAAATTTGTAAATATAAGCACACCTTCAATAATTTTCAAAGTGTATGAGTATAGAACTAGTTATGCGAAACTAATAATAGCACAGAACTATATATATCTTTAAATATAATTAAAGAGAAAAAATGGACATGATTAAATTGCCCTAGTCAAAGAATATATATTAGCTAATAAATGTGCCTATACAAAATAGTTTCCCAATTATATATAACTGGACAATTGTTTTGAAAAAAATAAAATCAATGATGGTAATTTAATTGTGATGTACTCTTAAAATAGGGAAGTTGACAATTCCCCACAACAATTGTCAGTTACCAAATAAGGAGAAGAAAAATAAATTTAAGGCATGAACATTTTGTTCTAACATAATTACATAATCTAAATCTTTTAGATTTGTTTCTCACATATATATTTTTTCCAAAATCTTGAGGTAAGCTACTTATAATCATTTTCTGAATCTATCAAATTAAACAGATGAACAGCAATGCAAGTATTGGTTGTAATTTTGATTTACAAATTAGAGCAAATGATAATTAAATTCACAAATCGATCGATGCAGGAAAATCGCCAGATTTGATCATTACTCTCAAATCAAACCACTAAGAAACTGCAAAAATATCCAAAATCAAACAAACCAAATTTGGTAAAGACTAAATAATCACAGATAGATGAAAACCTAATTGATTAGTTGCATTAGATAAGAAATCAAAGCGTACCTTCCGTTAAATTCCATCAAAGCTTCCGAGAACATCGTGTATCAAATTCTCCACCATATCCCCACCGTACAATCCGCCGTCCGTACCCGACCCGATTTCTGGCGGATCGGATCTACTTTCCCGCCCTAGCTTCGAATCTACCGCTACTTCGTCGTCTACCAGTGCATGAGCATTATCGCTCTCCGCGACGGCGACGGTTTCCGATTCAGCCCCCGCATCTCCTCCGTCGACCGGAAAACCGGCGTATTCCGCCGGATATACTGCGCCTTGTCCGGTGAGTTCCTGGACAAGCGCGCGGAATTCCGAGGCGCTGGCTTTGAACTTGATAGGGTTTGTTATGTAAACAACTTTGAGCGGTTGCTGCTGCTTTTTGCAACTTTTCGAGTGCTTGTTTAGTCTCTTGGGGCTCGAATTCAGCGGTTTCTCCATGGACGTCTGCTTCGAGAGATCGAATTTTTCTTCTAGAATACATAAGAAGATGAATGAGGATTTGAAGCTACCGTACTGAAGAAGTGCATATTGATGCAGCTACATTATGATTAGCGACTTATGGATAATAAATAAATGGGATACCTCCAAAAGCGCGTTTTAGAAACAAATAATAAAACACTAAAGTCGCGCTTCTGCACAATAATTATGATTTTCCAGTTTAATTAAAACTTAGAAGTACTACTAGTAAATTTCTTTTTTGACCTAAATTTGAATTATAATTCTCACCAAAATGATAACGAACAAAATGTGCCCTAATTTGTGCAAAACGACATCGTTTTGTTCCATTTCAACGAATATTGACATCATTGTATTCGGATTCACACACTCGCTGGGCAGACATTTTTCTACTCTCACGTTAACCACACGCGCTAGAAGGTACGTGAACTAATTGAGTCTATTTCTTGCTTCCGTGGCTTTAAAAACCCCGATGACATCATCTTATTTATTTATTTTCCTCTTCCATTGAAAAATACACTACTCCCTTCGTCTCATATACCATGTCCATGTTGCCGTTTCTGTCTATTCTATATCTCATGTCATTTTTTTTTTTTGGAAAATTATTATCCATCTTAATTTTATTTTAAATTTTTTAATTTTAATTTTTTTAAAATTTTAATTAAAATAATTAGTTATCTTAATCTATAATGATTTATATTATAAGTTACTTATTTTCACTAATACATTCTTAATTATCTAATAATTATAATTATCCTAAATTTCTATGTCTATAGTGACCAAGACACCCAATGTGGGATGAAGGTAGTATTACGTTTATAGTATATCACATTTATTTCAATTTAAATATTTGTAATAATTACCTGATTATACGATATTTTTGATCCAATCTGTTTGTGTTTGACCCGACCCGGTATGATTTATAATCTCAAAATCTCACCCTAACCGAACCGAACCGGTCCTCGCTTCTTATTTTTCTTCTGTTGAGACGACAATGCCATAAACCTTTGGCGACATCCTCTTCGGCTCCATTCAAATTCCTTATAGTTCCGATTTCGTCATCCTAGTATGTTTGTTTCCTCTTAGGCCTTATATCCCTGATCTTACAATGGCTATATATATTGGTGGGTTCGTGGGTTTTAGGAAAGTGTTGTGTGAGCCGAGAGTGAGATTAGTCGCTTGATGCGATCTTTGTATTCTACTTTGTGTTCGCCTTTACCTAGTACTTGTCGGGGTATGCCGGATCTCCTCCTTTTTTTTTTTTTTTTGTGAGACTGTGGGTTACTTGGTGTCGAAATCCTCAATTGCTCACCTTTTTGGTGTTGCCTTGTTGGAAGACTAGGAGTTGGCGCGTAGTGGGCTGTGATTTGAGCCTACCGATTATTTCATATATTTCGTTTGATTATGAACATTGATTTTCTTTTTTATTTTTTATATAAATATTATTATGATAAATTGATATTAACCTACTAATATTCTTAGTGAGTATTATTTCGTTGCTGGAACCCGAGTCATCAAAACCCTAAAAGAAACAAATTCCTAACAACGATATCAGAGTTTTGGACGGAATCGAACATGAGTTCGATGATTATTTGAAAATCAGAATATTACCCTTATTTTTATTCATTAATTAGTTATAGGGTAAGCTGTGATTAAATACTTGGTGAGTAATCTTGATTATTATAATTCTTGTGATTGTGTTGACACTACTATCCATAATTGGCTGCTCCAAGAGTGAGTTAGTAGCTAACTACTGATAGTTAGTGAATTATGTGACATTCTTGTGTGATTAATTGTGTAAACTTTGTGTTGATACTTGGACATTATGACAACTGTGTCTATTACAATTTTTTACGGAAAAATTGTTTTTTCAATTTGGCAACAAAAGATGAAAAATATCTTAGTAATACAAAAGATTGCCAAAACCATTTATGGTATTTTAATCGTTTGTTGACTGAAGATAGAAATTTGATTTAGATTAACATACATATTCGTTGATAATATTGAATGTATCTCTGTGATAAGAAAAGTAGAGAAGCATAATTCCGAAAAAGAACTTTTGGAAAAATTAAAAAAAAAAATCTATATGGAAAGGTGTTTGTTGAATAAACTGTTCCTACTTGAAAATTTCTTCAGATTTAAACTTGAATTAACGAAATCAATAGATGAGAATCTTGATGTTTTTACTAAACTTGTTCAAGATATTAAACAAATAGGAAACAAGAATATTGATGAATACACCCCTATTGTGCTTTTGAATGTCATTCATGAATTCAAATATGCTATTAAGTATGGTAGAGATAGTATAACTCTTGAAACAATTATGAGTGAATTAAAGAGTAAGGAATTAGACTTGCATGTTAATGGGAAAGAAAAACAAGCATTTGATGAGATCTTTGTTAGTTAGGAGTAAGTTACATAATTTTGACAATCAAAATAATAAAGGCAAATGAAAATATAAGAATAAGAAGTGTTATAATTGTGAGAATATGAATCATTTTATATATCAATGTCCACATCCAAAAAAAGACTTTAGAAACCAACAATGTGATGATGCGAATGTGGCAAAAGAGAATGATGTAGCGGGTATGTGTTTATGGTAAGAAATAGTTTGATTATTATTGACCATGTGTGGGAAACTCAGTTGTTATCCGCTATTGCCCTTGAGAAATTTGTTTTCGATTAGTAACTTTATATCGCATGCTTTTGTTGCTATTGGTTATGTTGTATTTAAAGTTTGATTGTGTGGTTGTGTTAAACTTAGAAATTGACGCAGCCCTAGTAATTACACTATACTAATCGAAACTTAAAATTAAATTTGAATGAAAACTAAGTAAATAAAGAGAGATAGTACCGGTGTCTGATTCATCAATCGATCAGATGTGAACCCAAGCATTGCGTAGACCCAACACCTCTAAACCAATGGAGACTCGTACAATATGACTAGAAACTCCGGTCGGTTTTGGAAGCCACGAACCCAAAGAATCAACCCACCCAATTTGAGAATGATACACGTATGCAAGGGAAACCCTCACTCACACATTAATTCCAATATAGTGGAATAAAAAGAAAAATTTAATTGATATAAATTTCAAGGTGTCTTACATATGAGACCAAGTGTATTATTTAGAGGGGAGACTGGCTTAACAAAAGACTCTACAACCAATGTGGGACAATAAGTACACATTATTTAAAGCCCACTACTTTTAAATAAAAATAAGGTCGAACTAATTAAATAATTAAGAACGGTCCAATTAATTAAATAACTAAAAAAGGTCCAATTAATTATATTAAAAGGGGCACACCTTATTAAATAAAATAGAACACCTATTATCCTACATGAGATAATATGTGAGTAGCAACTCTCATGGGTGTTATAAATTGTGGTCTTTAAGGGAATGAAGTGGACGGATCATGGATGCACTCCAATGTTAACAACGCTCTTTCCATTGGCCTCCATGCTTCCACTTTATGCATGTTCTCCTTTTTCAAGTGTAGAACTAATTCCATAATATTAGTTTGAAACTTCTTCGCACAATTTCGAGTAATCAGACCAGACCAGGTGGTAGTGCAGGTTCATTATCGGTTTCGACGACCTCGTCATCACCCCCTTTTTGAAAAAATGAGTCCCCAATTTTCATAGCATATTCGTCTCCTACATCAAAAGGACTTAAGTCAGCAACATTGAATGTGCCATGAACTTAGTACTCACCCGGTAGTTCAATGCGATAGACATTGTCATTGATGCGTTCCACAAGTTGGAATGACCCATCTCTTCTTGGGCGCAGCTTAGACTTCCGTTTCTTGAGAAATCTATTTTTTTCTCAAGTGTAACAACACCCAATCGTCTGGTTGGAACACCACATGCTTACGACCTTTTTTTTAGCACTTTTAGCATACCGAGCATTTGAGTTTGCAATGTTATCACAAACTTTTGAGTACATCTCCTTCACAAATTCAGCATGTTTTCTGCCATCACTATTAAAATACTCATTGCTAGGAAATGGTAACATATCCAAAAGTGGTAGAGGATTAAAGCCATAAACAACCTCAAAAGGAGACGTGCATTGAAGAGTGCAACGTACGATTATATGCAAATTCAGCATGAGGCATTCATTTTTCCCAACTTTTGCAATTCTTTTTTATCAAGATACGAAGTAGGTTCCCTAAGGTTCTATTTACTGTTTCAGTTTGACCATCCGTTTGAGGATGATGAGATGTAAAAAATAGCAACTCAGTTCCCAATTTAGCCCAAAGTGTCTTCCAAAAGTAACTAAGAAACTTTTTATCCCTATTCGACACAATTATTTTAGGAAACCATGCAATTTCAAGACATTATGAAATAATAGATATGCAACATGAGATGCATCATTGGTTTTCTTACATGCAATGAAGTGTGCCATTTTAGAAAATCTATCAACCACAACAAAAATTGAATCATTTTCTCTCATAGACTTAGGCAATCCAATAACAAAATCCATTGAAATATCAGTTTATGGTGCTTCTAGAATAGACCGTGTTGTTGTGCATGTGATTTTGCAATCTTAGAGACAACACATTTATTAACATAAGACTCCACATCATGCTTCATTTTAAGACAATAATAGTGTTCATGCAATACACTCAATGTCTTATCGCGCCCAAAATGACTCATCAAACCTCTCTCATGTGCCTCCACCACTAACACATCACGAAGTGAACACCTAGGCATACAAGCGATTCACACGAAACAAATATCCATCATGCAAATAATAGTCACCAAAGCTATGTGTAGCACATTTTGCAAAGATACTAGAAAAATCAACACCATTCACATAAATATCTTTTATGAATGCAAATCCTATTAGCTTGGATTCTAACAAGGTTAGCAACCCGTACCTCCTTGATAATGCATCAGCTACAACATTTTCATTTACTTTCTTGTACTGAATGGAGGAAAGAATGTGTCCACGAATGCTACACACCTTGAATACCGTTTGCTAAGTTTTTGTTGACTCTTTAAATACTTTAATGATTCATGGTCGGTGTGAACAATGAATTCTTGTGATCGCAAATAGTACTGCCATGTTTGAAGTGCACGAATCAACGAGTACAATTCTCG